CAAAAATGCTTCAATCTGAGCAAATGGAGCTACAAAAGTAGCTCCAAAACTTTTTTGAACTTCAGGCATTCTGCTTCAGGTGACTTGGAGTGGAGATGTGAACCATAGATTAATATTGATCATTTCCCCCTGAGCTTTTTGGAGCTACTACAAAACGCTTAGGTGTGAATGGAGCCTGAGGGTAGTTCATCTTATTTCTTTTAGTGCACATTGTATTTGTGTTTTATATGTGTTTACTGCTTTAAAAGTAATTTTTTTTAGTTTATTTGATTATTTTATTATCTGTGTTTTTTTTCTGTAAAAAATATTATATAATGAAGCTAATGAGGAGAAATATTTTGGTCCAAGGCCAGGTCCAGAATAGTTAAAAGGAGCTTTTTTAACCATCAGAAGCCATTCAAATCCCACTACACCTTTAAAATCCACCTAAACCACCTTAATTTTGCCTTGCCCATTGACTTTAATGTCTTTCATCAAATCTGGATTCTTCTTTACCTCATGCAGCATTCTGCGCTGTGCTCTTGCAGTCATTTTTACAGGACGACCACGCCTAGGGAGAGTAGCAACAGTGCTAAACTTTCTCCATTTGTAGATAGTCTGTCTTACCGTGGACACATGAACATCAAGGTTTTTGGAGATACTTTTGTAACCCTTTCCAGCTTCATGCAAGTCAACAATTCTTGATCGTAGGTCTTCTGAGAGCTCTTTTCTGCGAGGCATGGTTCACATCAGACAGTGCTTCTTGAAACCAGTAAACCCAAAACAGGTGTGTGTTTTTTAAGGGCAGGACAGCTGTCAGCAACACATCCAATATCATCACACTGATTGGAGTCAAGGTTGGCTCACTCCTGGCTCCAATTAGCTCTGGGAGAAGTCATTAAGCTAGGGCCTCACATACTTTTTCCTCCCTGCATTGTGAATCTTTACATGCTATGTGCAATTAAACCATGGCAACATCTAATGTTTGTGTGGTATTATGTTCGCAGACTGTGTTCTTCTATTGTTGTGACTTAGATGACGTTCAGAGCACATTTTATGCCCAATTCATGCAAAACTCCACGTAATCCCAAGGGGTTCACATACTTTTTCTTGCAACTGTATAGGACAATCCATTGGGATCCCCTCACGTTACCACAACTAGTGCCCCCATTGGAAGATTTCCCCTCTATTACTATTTTGGGGACAACCCAAAATTTGGGATTTTCTTTTGCTTTCACTTTTGATGATAATGCTAAACAGGACAAATACAGAGGATGAATCTCCATAACGGGGCAAATATAGCATTAAAATCTTGATCCCAAAGCTGCGCTATTGGGTATCATTTCTGAGGATATCCTTCCTGTAGAGATGCACTTGTTATGGAGTAGATCTCTGTATATAGCCGTAAACTTAGCCTTCAAAAATGGATTTCCCATTTGCCACCAACTTATAGTCAGTGGCGTAAAAATTGGCATACCCCTTTTGACAATGTACTTGTAGTACGTCAAGGAGTAGCCTTGCTAGCCGTGACGTCAAGCCGCCGGATCACAGAGGTCCGGCGGCCACCTCATTTAACCGGCTGGTCAGTGTTTTATACATGCAATTGTCATTTTATTGCTTCATCTATTTCACCACATAGTGTACGTGTTTGGTTTTATACTTTTTACATTTAATACCATTAAATAATATTTGAAATACTACACTATGGAAGTACCCCTTTTCTTTGCTCTGCACCAAGCATTTTAACTTCCCAGCAATCCCCAGTGAACATCCCAGATCCTAGACGAGGTTGATTTATTTACCCTGGCTGTATCCTGTAACCAAAAAAAGACCATCCACCCCCAGGCTTCATCCTGGACCACCCTAAAAAGGGATCCCTTGACTGTTATTGACAGTATATGAAACAACGCGCTATACCTAAGCGCTTCTGGTGAGTGTGCATTTCTTACATTTATTAGTACACCCACCTGAGGATTTATACACTGGGATTTTATTTCATCACCTGGCGATCACCCTGAATATTATTGAGAAGACTTTACAGAGATTTCAATGACATTTTATGTTTCAAAACGCATCAGAGGTGTATGTGCGATTTGATGTAAAGAATCATAATCCCTTGCTAATTTTTGGTATTTTAAGATAATACGTATTTATTTATTCATTGTTTGCCTTGATTGCTTTTACTGTCTTTTTTATCACTGCACTTTTTATACTGAGATTTTATTGAAGGCTTATGGTGTACCTTTTAGTGTTCAGCTGCTTATGTACATATATCTTCATAGCTACACTTTTTACTATTAGTGGCGTAACATTATACATGCTACTTTGAGAAGGCAGGAGTTGACTTACAAGCATAGGAACTGCCCTAAAAAATTTAGGAAAATATGGTCACTGTGGCTGGAGTCTAGTGATTTAACACTTTCATCACTATCCATGGGAACGGATGAAGGTTAGAATTCTGCTGTGGTGGGTGCAATGTTACTGCTGTTGAGGGATACTTAGGTTATGATGTGCTAGGATATGAGTTTTTCTGGTGATTCTGACCATACTGGTTCTGAGTATCTTATATATGTGTACTGCGATTTTGCACGATCTCTGTTTACTTTATTTTTTGGTTTATATGGCCTATAACCTCAGTTATTGTATTTTTTTTTTTTTTTCTTTTCTTTTTTTTTTGTTTGGAATGTTCATATGACGTTCGGCTTGGCGTTTGCAAGTGCTACCATATTTTTGTTCCATGTCAGAGTTAGGATTCTTGCTTGTTGCTACGTTGTATGACTTGCAAAAATACCTCAAAAAAACGACTTGATTTTAAAAAAAAAAAAAAACTAACAGGTGTTCCAATTCTTCTCCACTTTATCCAAAACTAAAAAAAAGATTTGCTTTGAGTTATACTATAAAGAATCTTCTACTGACAGCTTGGCGCCAGATACCACAGCGTACCTTTAGAAGTCTAGCAATGTCTCGTCGGGTCAGGGCTGATTTGTGGCAAAAGGGGGACCTACTCAGTAGTATTAGGTTGGTGGTCATAAAGTTATGGCTGACTTCTCTGCTGTACAGAATATACTATATGTATGTATGTATATATATATATATATATATATATATATATGTATATAGTATATTCTGTACAGCAGAGAAGTGAAAATCTCTGATTCCTGACTGCAAAGAATAAAATTGCCTTATTAGAATAGAATTAGATTGTGTGTAGTTTTATCTATATATTTTTAATTTTGGTAAATTTATGTGTGCATTTATTGCATCGATAAAGAATGTGTGTACTGTAAAGCCCATGGCATTTAACTTGTTTACCTCCATCCACAGTAGTCAAAAAGTCTTTTCACTGTGCCTAAAATTAAATTTGCCTCCCAAGGTCCACTTGGACTAATGGGAATCCTATTGTGAAAGGGCTCAGGCTGAGTTATCACAAGGCGAGGAGATGGTGAGTTCCGTCTATCTCCCCGATGCTCTTTTCAGTACTAAAAAATCCATTTAAACGCAAAGGCCAGCAATTCACACACCACTGCACCTCTATTCAGCACTTCACATGCAGATCAACCCCATACTTTATGTTGGGATGCAGGAAGGCCCACTTTCCCCTTATGCATCAAAAGACATTTATTTCCAACAAGGTTTGTTTGGTGTTTATTTTTGAGTTTAGTTTAAATGAGAACTCCAGTCAGACTAACCATTATTAAACGATCAATAAATTTATTAGGTTAATAGGTTATATCCACTTGATACTTCATCAGTTTTTGCTCTAAATGTACATGTGCTAAAGTACAGCAGTCACTTTCCATCACTTGTACTGATTTCCAGTGATTATATCTGGGTGTGTTTACTAATTAGATTATAGTCTGCAACTGTCATCATTGTCCAAAATCCACATAGAAGTAAGGTTAAAGAAACACCTTTGGTGTGATAATGTAAAGTAAAAAGACAAAGTGGATTAGTGCCTTTTCTGGCAAAATGAAAATTCAGACCCTGATAATAATTCCAATGGCTTATTTATCAATGATTTTTGTGTTTTTTGCCTAGAGATTCTCTTTAAATGTTTTCTATCTCCTAGATTGTAAACTCGAAAGAGCAGGGCCCTTGAACCCCTCGTGTATTGTTTTGTTACTGTATTGTCTCATGTTCTGTCCCCCACTATAATGTACAGCGCTGAGCAAACCTTCTGGCGTTATATAAATACTGCATAATAATAATAATAACTGTTACTGTTTTGGCGAGACTGTCCCTTTTTGGGCCCAAATATATTTGTACTTCTTTACAAAACTGTCCACCTTCTAGATCTAATTTGTGTAATTTCACTAATTACATGCATAGCATATTTATGTTGCTTTTTGATAGAAAAAAAAATATGTTGCTGTTACTATTGTACATTTTAAAGTGCAAAGCAAAAATGGAGATCTTGTCATAATCAATCAATCAATCAATCAATCAATCTTATATTTGTTTTACCTGGTCCTCTAGTGTCTCTGCCTTTTCAGTAGTAGGTTATCACTGAAATATTATTTCCAAACATATTGCTTGCTAATGTATAAAAAACATTAGAGAACCAGCTAAAATTTGGCCGCCATTTTGTTGTAGTCACGACTGTCATTTTCCCTAGAACCAAACATATTCCAGCCCCTTGTTTGTGGCTCCACACTTTTTTCCCAGGCAGTAGCATGCAAACCTTCTGACATTTCCCAGTGGTGAGAAGTGTCCCCATTGTAATGATGGAGCTGTTTGACCATGTGTGAGGGATCCTATTGATACAAATGTACATGTTGCTTCTTTCCTTTGGCAGTTTTAATTTCAGTGAATGCATTCTAGTTCTGTCACTCACGTGTAGTGGAAAGCAATTTCAGTAGTAGATGGAAGACACTTCTCAGCGGTGATATTCATCACATATTTGGGCTTTCCTTTAACTGGTTCCATGCCATCCCTATAGCAGAAATACTGCTACAGGGCGGCATGGGTGCGCAAAATTACATATATATATATATACATACATGATTTTGCAGTTCCGGTTAGGGGCGCGTTCGTGGCCTCGGCTGTCAATCACCGGGTCCCAGTCGGTGATTACTTGACGGCACCCGGTGATCGCCAAGTATCTCCTGTGTATAAACAACACAGATCTCTCCCCTGTCAGCTCATGCACACATCTTTGTATGGCTCTGTATAGCAGAGCCATGCAAAGCAGTGTGCTTACAGTAAAGCACACACACAGTCAACATAGTGAAACAGCACACAGCACACAGTTAACCCTTTGATTGCCCCAGATGGTAACTCCTTCCTGCCCATTGCCATTAGTACAGTGTCAGTGCTTTTTATTAGCACTGATCACTGTATTGGTGTCACTGGGGATGTCAGTGACACCAAGTCAGTTCCCCCCAGTGTCAGAATGCCTGCCGCAGTCCTGCTTTAAGTCATTGATCATCACCATTACTAGTAAAAAAAAAATAAAATTCCAGTATCTATACCGCCATTTGTAAACGCTATAACTTTCATGTGTAAACAATTTAATTTACACATATTGGGATTTTTTTTTAACAAAGACATGTAGAAGAATACATTTGGGCCTAAATTTATGACAACATTTGATTTTTTACATTTTTTTACTGGACATGTTTACTAGCAAACAGTCAAAAATATAGGTTTTTTTTTCAAAATTGTCTGTCTTTTTTTGTTTATAGCGCAAAAAAAAAATGCAGAGGTGATCAAATACCACCAAAAGAAATCTCTATTTGTGGGAAAAAAAGGATATAAATTTCATTTGGGTGCAGTGTTGCACACACGCGCAATTGTCAGTTAAAGTATCGCAGCTCTGTATCACACAAAATGGCCTGGTCAGGAAGGGGGTAAATCCTCTGGAGGGCAAGTGGTTATGGACTTTTATTCACCTTCATATTTTTCACTAGTATATATTTTTCACTGTTTATTATTGTGAACATTATCATATATTATGATTATTGTATTGATGGAAGCACACGTTATTGGTGGATCATATTTACATTTTGAGGCTATTTAATTTGTCATAGGAAAAAATATCCATTTACCCCTCTGTTGAAAAAAGTCTTGTGTCCACAGAGATCCATGGCTTAAGGTAAAAAAAATATTGCTGTTTTGTTGTCTCTTTAACTAACTCATAGTGCTTTGGGAAACGTGTTATCTATTAACTGCTTATTTGTAGAACATGTATTTTATACACACAGTAAAAAGCAGACATACAGTAAAGCAACTTACATAAATAAAACAAAGGTAGCTAAAATAAAATTGACCAAGACACATTATAGTTTTGATTTAAGTATCTTACCTAGTACACATGGGCCAAATTTTGGACAACATCAGCTGGTTCAATAGAAACCGGCTGATATTCGGCCTGTGTGTATGGCAAGCGATCCGTTAGGCTGACAGTCAATAGATTCACAATCAGGCTGAGAGTGCTGACCAAAGTGTTCTGGCGCTGGGCGGGGGGGGGGGGGGGGGGGGGGTTTCTCCTTTGTCAAGACACAATAGCACAGTGGGGGAGTTCGCTGTACTGATATCAGATAGTTAGTACAGCCGCTCCTCCAGAGCTGTCAAGCTTTTTTCGTTCAACCTAGCGGGTTGAAAAAACTAGTAAGGCTTAAGAAATCTAACAGATTCTTCCATCCACACAAAAGGCATGATTGAATAACCCTGCCAGGTTATTGTATTTTGACAGCTGCTAGCATTGGTTGTCATACAATAACAAGAAAGAAACACAAGTGCCATCTAAGTGTAGTAGTTATATAAAGCAAAATTTATTGCGCTAAAACTAGGCAACTTACAGAAAGAGTACAAGGATACAGCTCATCTGTTCTCTGCTACCAGATGTCCAATTTGTTTCTGTGATGGATAGAAAAAGCACCATGGGTTCCTATGGAGTGTCCCCCGCAGGGAACTAAAGCCTTCCGGGTACAGCACGGGAGACAGATGTGAGTCTTCCGACAGCAGAAGTGTTGTTTTTTTTTTTATGGACAAAATGGACTTTTGAAGTACTTTTATGAACTGTTTCTAAAACCCTAAGGTTTTATCTTGCGCCACATTGTTTTTTAGCACTGGTTGGCAAAATAACCAAGCAGCGCCTACACTTATTGGGCTGCAGGTGTTATTCGCAGACAATTTTTGTTTGGCCTGGCTCCTTTGACAAAAATCAATTGAATAATTCACTGTTGGTGACCCAGCAATGCCACCGACTGTTGAAATTGCTTCTGATTCAAAGGAATTAGCTGAAATTTTGACAGTGGGTTGAATATACAGCAGGAAACTGTATAGTGAAGTGGATTCAACATGGACACCTCCACCTCTGCTGTCTCATGGCAAGTAACACATCGTAATAGGGTTGTCAATACCGACCCAAACATGCCATTGAGTAGATGGGAGGAACAAGTGAGGTGAGTTCTTTACTATGATCTGTCAAGAAGTATGCAAATAGTATACCATAGTGAAACTTAGTATTGCATGCCAGAAAGATTAAAATGTATTGTCCAGAGGCTGCACACACCAGTTGGGAAGTCATGATACATATTTTTGAGCACACATATGTGACATCTTTTCATGTCATTTTCTCTGGAATAGGTTCCATGTTAATTACCAGTGTGCATATGAGACTGTTCCAGACCAGGGGCAGACTGACCATTTGGAAACTCGGGCACTGTCCGAGGGCTCGGGGTCAGTAGGGGGCCCCCTGAGATGCCCCTGGTACCTTTTTCATAGGCTTTTTTGAGTTTGGGCAAGGACACAGGGGCCTCATGATCCCCTATTGCCCAGGGGCCCCATGAGTTGTCAGTCCGCCTCTGTTCCAGACACAGATAAAATTGGACAAAAGTAGATCATAAGAAGACTGGAGAATGTATATCCCTCTCCGCCATATTGTCCACAAACAAAATTAACTTTTTTCCTAATTACACTTTTCACTGAGCAGTTTGAGGGATTAGAGATAGCTTCTGTGGAACAAAAAAAAATCTGATACCAGCCAGTTTGGTGGTCATGGACAGTCATTCATTGAACCCTCAAACAGTAAAAATAAAATTTTATAGAGGGTGAAAATGATAAGGGAAACTACAAAGGAACTGTAGTCTTGCGTATATGTTAAAGCTGAGATGAAAAAAACCTCCACCAAATTATTCCACTGTGAACTCAGTACATCAGAAGTAAATCAGATGTTATCCATGCGCCTTTCCTTCCACTTCTGATTTTTGGGAGGCTTCTTTAGAGGGCCATGACTAGCAAAGAATGTTTAACTAATTATGGGATGCCATGTGTGATTTCGTTAATTTGTGAGAGCAAAACCATAGGAAGTAATACCAGTAGTGTTGGTGATACTAGTATTGCCAACAATAGATTAAAAGTAGTTTTGGCTAGTAATATGTGACAAGAAGCAGAAGCAAAATGGGCATCCATACTTACATAGTTACTTACATAATTAGTGAGGTTGAAAAAACATTATCTTGTTCAACCAATAAAAAAATAAATCAATAGAAAAACCTCCATATACACCATCCTATACTCAAAGTTGATCCAGAGGAAGTAAAAAAAACCCTATGAAACATGATCTAATTTGCTACAGCAGGGGAACAAAATCCTTCCTGAAAGCCACTGGATATTCCCTAAATCAACAATCTCTCGTTTTATTACCTATAAATGTTGGTATCCACTTATATTTTGTACATTTAGGAATGTATCCAGCTCTATTTTAAAACAATCTAGTGAGCTGGCCAGAACTAGTTCCATATTTTCACAGTTTTTACTGTGAAGAAGCCTTTCCATACATTGAGGTTAAATCTCTTTTCCTCCAGACGTAAAGAGTGCCCCTTGTCTTCTGCAATGACCTGAAAGTGAATAAAACTAAGTTCATTATATGGACCACCTACGGTATATATTTATACATGGTGATCATATCCCCCTTTGCATGCATAGTAATTATATTGCCTTCAATACTATTTATATTTCTGTCAAATCTACCCTCAAACATTTTATAAATAAGGCAGTAATATGGTTTTGTTGGTTGCCTATCTTTGACCTTCCTTTTTGGCTGTCTATGGTACTATGGTCCTACAGACATTCAGACTGAAAAACATATTATTTACCAATTTTAATTGAAAAGTATACTAATGGGAATTTGAAGTGAGAGACCACAAAGCACAATGGTAAACTATTTGTGTTCAAGTATCAATATTTGCAATAATAATTGAAATGTGTAAGATTTGTTGATTACCCAAGATGTCATTCCTATCACTCTGACCTTTAGCCTCCATCATCATTACCAGTATTGAGCTCCTGTGTCAGTGGTACTTAACCTTTTTATTCTGAGAATGATATTAAATTGTGGTACCAGAGGAAGTAGTCTTGATTTGAATGCTTTATATTCCTCTTCTTCTTTTTATTATTAGAATTATTACTATTATTATATGTTTGGGTTAAATATGTTATAAAGAAATATAAGACATATTAATGTAGCCAATGTAGTGTGAGAGTAAAAGTATACATGCTATCATTTCAAAGTGGTTTAGAAGCTGTAAAAGATACCATGAAGCTCACCATATAAACTGGAGCTTAGCAAAAAAAACAAAATGAACACAAAAGCTAAGATGTTGGCCATAGAGTTAAATTAATTTTCTCCTTTGACCTCTTAGAAAAATTAACCAAGAAATCTGATCCTTGCCCATCCCCCCAAAAAAAGACATTTGTCACATGACCACTGCAAAAAGAAAGGTATTTACTGTCTGTGTTCCTATAAATTGCTGGCATCTTGTGTATGGAGTATGCCATCTGGACACCGTGATGGCTTTTAGGTTTGGCTCTACGTCTTCTTTAAATAAATATTTCCGAAATATAAAAATAGAAAGATTTTGTTTTTAGGCCCAACGCTCTGTTGAAAGTTTACCTTTTATTATGTATCTCATTATTTCTGCTTGCCTAAACCATGTCTATGGGAAATACCACAGGAAAGCATCATGGATTTCATCCTTGGTGAGCCTGAATGGCTAACCATTCTCCAAATACTTTGTCACTTTGTCACAGTAAGTGCAATAGGCATCACAAAGTTTGCTTTGAAACAAGTGTTTATGCCTATGGAGGAGGAGAGAGTGTGCCTAAACATGTCTAGCTCCAGCTTGTCTCAAGGGAAAATAAAAGGGATCAGTGAACACCGCCAATCACTATTTCAAATGATAGCAGATAAAGGTGTGCCCTGGGGTCTGAAGATGACCACGCAGTACATGATGATTATCACCCAATGTGGCTGAAACATAATGGATTAAGAAACAATTATACCACATCCATAACAATATTATTGGCAGCATTAAAGCAATATTAAACCCAAAAGTAAACATTTATTACATTGCAGCTTACCAATTCTGAGATGTGATAGCTGCATTCATTTCCTTTTTTAGGCTTCCTTTTTTCTCAT